TCGCGGAACAGGTACTCCCACACCTTCAGTCTCTTAGGCCCCAACTTGTGGAACATGTCCCTGTTCGGGCGATGTTTGCAACACGGTTTCTCGACGTGGCAGTTGAATCTGTCGTCCTTGACAAGTATATCAATGAACTTTGTCAAGTATGCAATGTCCTTTGCCGACTCGTCACAGGCAATGACATTATTTCCTGCTTGTAAGAATTCCCACACAAGACCCGCATGCGCCCTACCCAATAAAAGCACACCTTCCGCCTCCTCGACGAATGACCCGCACAACGAACGCAACTTGCCAGGCTCTCGCTCCCAGATGGAATACACCACACTTTCATCGCCCTCTATGCCAACGTGTTTCCCCAGACACTTCCCGAACAAGGCGGGGCCCAATTTTTTAATTTTCTTTTTGTAAATGTGCCGCATCACGTATGCGGGAACCCGTGCGCGTGCCCGTGTGCGCTGCGGCGCACGTGATGCGCCGCATGTATGGTTGAGAATCTTGAGGTATATTCCAAAGTGCCCGCAAAAGACGTGAATTGAGTGGAATGCCCCTCTGACTCTCTTACCCCAAAAAAAACCTTTTTTGCGGCGCACGTGATGCGCTGGATGTATGGTTGAGAATCTTGAGGTGTGTTCCAAAGTGCCCGTAAAAGACGTGAATTGAGTGGAATGCCCCGCTGACTCTCTTACCCCAAAAAAACCTTTTTTGGAATACCCCTGGCGTCATTTGGACCGCCCATCTTTGCAATATACCCATACCAGGTACGGTCCAACTTTGCAAAATATCTGGGTACTTGACAACTTTTCCAAGGCCTTGTTTATTTTCGTATCACCCTTCCCGGCGCTCTTTGCGTTTCACCCATAAGCCGAGAGGCTCCACACCATCTCATGGAACGCATCTGGTCACCATCATGTTTGTATTCAGACGAACTGCTGTGGCTAGGAGCATTCCAAGGATGCTCAAACACTCCACTTCGATCTGTCGAGGAAGCCATGCCCTCTCAAAAGTCCGGGGATTGCTCTTAAACCACCAGTACAGCCGGGCCTGCTTTTCGGAACCGGCAGCGGCATACTTTCTGAACTGCCAGCGTGGCACTTCTTTTCTTTTTTGTCTGGCGGTGGCAGCCCTTGTGGTCCGGTAGGCCCTAGCTGCAAAAACAATCTTGTGGCGATAAAATGTTTTGCTGCAAGGCTGGAGCCATGTACTTGTGCTTTAAGCTTCTCAAGAATCTCAACTAATTCTCCATACAATTGCATCGACTGACACAGCACGCAGTTCTCGTCTTCTAGTGCATTGTGCAATCAGACCCGTCTTCTTTCTCACTCAGCATGCATGGAAATAGATGGCAATCACACTGGCACCAGGCGCCCACACAAAGCTCAGAGAAATCACGGCCGAGAACACAGTTCAGATTTAAACTTGCTTCGAATGGCTATGATGTCTGTGCGCCCTCACTTCACCCTTCCGACACTGTATCTTCAACCACTCTTCACACGCACGCTTCCCTGGATCTCCCTGGATGTCCCACACGTGCACACACCACACTGAACACTCACACACATACACGTTATAGCCTAACTCTACTCTAGCGCAGCTATGGCTGCCTGCTACCTCTACCACTAGCTAGCGGCTATGGCTGCTTCGTCTCTCTTTCAGCCCTCTTCTTCCTCGGGCACCTGCAGACCTCCTTGCACAAGTCGCTCAGGCAGCACTTCCGCACGACTCACAGTCTGAGTGAATGAATAACTGGACACTGCCTCTTGATTTATACTTTGGTTGGTCACTGGTCTGCTCCTTTCCACTGGGCCCAGGGTGCACACAGTCCCACATGGTACTTGCTGACTGGACAAGGTGCGACTGGGACTGGGTACTGCTGATTACCGCCTTCCCCCGAACATAACGCATATGCGTTGCATTCAAGTTTTCCAAAAAAATGGGTTTTTGGAAAGTTGACCCTTTTTTTTTTTTAATACAAGGGCACTTCAAATATAACCATACTTGCAAGTGGACGCCGTCCGGGCGGTTCCGCACGTGCGGCAGACCGCCGGACCGGACCCGTGCGGCGCACGAATGTGCGCCGGACGACCAGTTACGCCCCCCCCCCCCCCCCCAAAAAAAAAAAAAATGCCCCCGTCTGGTCCGGGGGGAGGGTGCCGCACGCGGCAAAGCGGACCGGACCGGACGCTCGTCCAGGCCGTCTGCTTGCAAGTATGAATATAACGCATATGTGTTCTATTCGAATAATATGCATATGCGTTATATGTGAATTTCACAAAGAGAAAATTGTTGTATTCGAATATAACCAGGGTAGTCACGCCAACGGTAGGCGGCCCCAGACCCGTCGGCTGCCGACCAGCCGACGACGGCGCCGACCGGTCGGCGATCGGTAGGCACCCCGCAAAAA